ACACACACACACACACACACACACACACACACACACACACACACACACACACACACAGTATTTGACACTTACCGGGGGTCTTCTTCCATGACTTGTCCTCACTGCTTGCTGGAAGCCCACATCATTCTCCAGCTCCTTAAAATTAGTCAACAATTAGTCTTCATTTTTTACATAGTGGGCCGACGGAAGAGCAGACATTTTTTACACAAACAATTTTGAAATAAAACTTTGAAGTAATTAGTCTTTCGCCATGCCACTATCTCAATCTCATATAACCAACATTCATTTTTCAAAGTTGATTTTCTATACACTTAGAAACGATGTGCTAATGTAGTGTTAGGTTAGCGGTTAACTTACCTCCGAGTCAAATGTCGGATTATAATCATTGTAACCCGAATAAAGGTCGTCCTCCTCCACAGCCAGATGCACATGTTCCATTTCTGTTTCTGTAGTGTATGAAAATATTCCTCAATGTGTGGCAAACAAACAGTTTTCTATGCGAGATAACTGGTAATATTTTGTTTTCCTTTTAGGATTTTGTCCCACAATTCAACGCGGCACGGGCGGGACAGTTTCCTTTTCAAACCTCTGATTGGTTTTTCACGCGTCCATCGTCGTCTGGCCTCAACCTAATTGGTTGAAGTTGCGCTCGTTCGTTGCTAGGATACACTATAACGCTACAACTAATTTCTTCTTCGTATTCTCAAAATTATTTTTAAATACTTACATACATAGTATGTATTATTTATAAAAAGTTACAATTAATAGTTTGTGGGTTTCTTTATAGCTCATTTCAAGGAAAACAAGCTTTGTGCGCTCGTTTGCCTTCTTTGGTCCTTCTAGGTCACCGTACAGCACGGTCAGCGTGACTGTCAAGGGGGGCGGCGCAACAGAAAGCTTGTAAGTTAAGTTTTAGCTGGTGTCATAACATTATAACGCTTCTGACATGAAGATTATAACTGTGATTGGCAGGTGAGCGAGATAACAATGTATTTTGCGTTGTAAAATGATGAAACCGTGCTAGCCCTGACCTATATTCATGAAATTGAAACGAAAGTTGCTTTGTTGAATGAAAAACTGGTTGAAAGCTGTAGTTTGCAGTATCAGTGCATGTAATTTTATTTTGGTGACTGCATTGTGTGCATCATACTGTTGCTCACGACATAAACAGGACTGTTCTGAATGAACGCTTGTCTTGTGTTTTCAGTCAGAATGAATTTGTGAATAATCCTGTTTATTACAGACACGTTATAAACCTTCACGACAGCGTGAAGGTTTATAGCTGTGTGATTTTAGAGACTTTAAATTGAACCTGTCTTCTGAACCCTGTTCATTAAACATGTCAGTGCCTCTGAAGTGACCTCTCTTAAACTTGCAAAGCAAGCACTGAACCTCACAGTTCTTCACTTATGTTGCCATACGTTTTAGGGGGTAATCTTTGTGTGTTAACATTGCAATAATATTTAGATGGATGGCGAAGGGATTGAGAAAACATTCACAGTGGATTTACACTTCACTTCTGGTTACATGTCAAAACATGAGAGGAAGACAGGAAAATGAAGCTGGTGTCAGCAAGCAGACAGGCACACTGTCAGCACTTTAGTGCTGTGTGATTTTACTGGACTTTACTGAAAAACAACATTCAGCCCTTGCCTTGATTTTGTTTTTTAAGTCTGCTTATTGGGGTTTATGTTTTATGTCTGTTACCATGTGATTTTCTTCCTGTTCTAGTGGGCTGATAGGCCGCTCCTGGGCTATGCTGTTTGTCAGTGGAGGCTACAATGTGAAGATCTATGACAACCAACCAGGACAGTCTGCCAAGGCCATCACAGAGATCAAGTGAGTTCTACTGCTCAACTTAAAGACCCATCTGGGTTACACAGACAAACTTCTTCAGTCTTAACTGCATTATCGTCAACAGAAATTTGTTTTTAACCCAGATGTAATTCTAAGTAAAAACAAAAACACACACACACACACACACACA